GAGCTCCCGGCTCACGGGGACGGGGAGAACCGCTCTCTCACGGTGGCACTGGTGTCACTGTGCCAGGGGCTCTCCTGGCGTCCCTGCGGGGAGAAGCCTCGCCGCCTCCTCTTCGCCGGGTGAGCCTGTTTCCTCTCCGAACCCAGACCCGGCGGAGTCCATCCCCACGATGCGGGCCGGCTGGTGGAGCTGCCCTGCATCGCCTCGGGCTACCCCAACCCGGCCGCCCGGTGGATCAAGGACGGGCGCCCGCTCCCCGCCGACAGCCGCTGGACCAAGCACATCACGGGCCTGACCATCAGCGACCTGCGCGTGGAGGACAGCGGGACCTACATCTGCGAGGTGACCAACACCTTCGGGTCCGCAGAGGTCACGGGGACCCTCACAGTCATAGGTGAGAGCCGGCGGGCAGGAGCGGGACGCGGTGGCGGGGAGACCTCTGTCCTGCTGCCCGGGGCCCAGCTTGATAAAGCCTTCTTAAATATAAAGCCTTTATAAATATAAAGCCTTAAAGGTTTTATGCAGCCGTATAAATTACAAGCCTTGTATTTCAGCGTGGCGCGTCGCACGCTGGAAGCCGCCGTCTTGCGATGCGGCGTGTCCGATGTGGTGCTCAGAGCGCTTGCAGGAGGTTTATCATGCTGCAGCAGCGCATCTGCAGACGTCCTCTGATTTACCGCTTCGATCGGGGCGGGGAGAGGGGCCTCGGAAAACTCAGAGCAATACTGGGGGATGTAAATTGCTGGATGGCGACATCAGTTTTATGTTAGGTGCCTCTGTGCTTGGTTTTGTTGACTTCCACAAAATAAGCTCCAGCCAAACAGTAAATACCATCTGGGCAGGCCAAGTATTTATCGCACGCTTTGTTCCTGGGGGTTCCTCCTGTCACCGGGATCCCAGCGGTGCCAGAGCTGCCGGGGCTGGCACGCACCGTGCCTTCCTTACCTAGAGCAGTGCCGTGGCGAGCACACCACCGACCGGGCACCGGCAGCCTGCTGGGAGCTGCCCTGGCACGTCCCCAGCTCAGTGCTGTCCCCCATTACACCGGCCACGTCTTCTTCCAGCCGTCCTGCCCCGCCACCCCCTCTGCCGGGGGTCCGGGGCTGACGTTAAAAGCAGGGGCTGTCGGCGGGGAGGACGGGGCCGGGGGGGCACCTGCCTTATTGTGCGGTGACATTTTACATGTAGTCGGGCAGGCTCTCTCAGGGCAGAAAGGGCAGAGAGAGCACAGAAATGACGAGACGCCTCCCGCCGTGCTGCCCGGCACCGCCAACGCCTCGCCCGCTCTTGCCCTTTCTCGCACAGACCCTCTGCGTGTGACCCTCACGCCAAAGAAGCTCAAAACGGGCATCGGCAGCACCGTCATCCTCTCTTGTGCCCTCAGCGGGTCCCCCGAGTACGTCATCCGCTGGTACCGCAACACAGACCTCGTGGTGGTGGATGACTACATCTCCATCCGGGGGATCAGCAACGAGACCCTCCTCATCACGGCCGCGCAGAAGAGCCACTCCGGGGCCTACCAGTGCTTTGCCACCCGCAAGTCCCAGACGGCACAGGACTTCTCCATCATCACGCTGGAGGGTGAGCTGCCTTCCTCGGGGCTGGGGCCGGCGGGGGCTTTCCTCTGCCCCGCTCCAAGCCGCCGTATCCCCAGGGTGGACCGGGATGTTTTGTGCATGGCTGGAGGGCAGTGAGACCCGCCGGGGTGGGGGCTCCTGGGGCCAGACCGCTCCCAGCCCGCTTCCTGGGCTGCACGTGCCGTCTGCAAGCAGCTCAGGGACGCAGCATGGCCGGGACGGGGAAGGACCAAAATAAGGGTTGACTTGCCCATCCCCGGCCCCTGGGCCGAGGCACTGCCTTTCACCAGGTGTCCCCTCCCCGATCCCGATCGCTGGATGTTTGGACAAGGGACGGGCTCTGCCGAGCCAGGCGTCCTCTTGAGCCAACGTCTGCATCGACCAGCACGCCCCCTCGCCCCCTCTCAGCATCTCCCTGCTGCGGGGATGCAGGCGCGGCTGCGCGCACGTTGCCGAGCAGGGCTCCTCTCTCGGCTGAGCCGGGGCTCCCACCCCAGGCGGGAGCTCAAAGCCGTCCCGCCAGTGGGTGACTGCTGCTGCCTGTGGCTGCCGCTCCCTGACCCCCCTCCCCCTGGGTGCCCCCCAGATGGGACCCCCCGCATCGTCTCCTCCTTCAGCGAGAAGGTGGTCAACCCCGGGGAGCAGTTCTCCCTGATGTGTGCTGCCAAGGGGGCCCCCCCGCCGACCGTCACCTGGGCGCTGGACGACGAGCCCATCCCGCGGGACAGCGGGCACCGCACCAACCAGTACACCATGTCAGACGGCACCACGGTCAGCCACATGAACGTGACGAGCCCGCAGATCAAGGACGGCGGCGTGTACCGGTGCACCGCGCGGAACTCGGTGGGCAGCGCCGAATACCAAGCGCGAATAAACGTAAGAGGTGCCTGTCTACTTTTAAATATCAGAATAGGACTTTTACTGGGCTTTTGGTTTGGTTCTGTTCCCCGGCCCATCGCTCCTCCTTGCCTCTCCCTCCTCGTCCCAGCCGGGCAGGTCTTCCTGGCTGCCCCGACCCCGTTCCCCGAGCTCCCCGCTCCTGCCCCGCTTGCTCACAGGCCTGCCTGCAGGGTTGAGCCTCCCCGCCGTTTCGAGCAGGGAGTTTAACGACGTGCAGAGTGGTCCTGTAGCCTGGGAGAGCTGGAGCTTGGCTTTGCAGAGGCAAAAGGGCGGCACTCTCCACATCGGGGTGCGCTCTCGCCCTGCCATTGGGGTCCGCTCTCGCCCTGCTGAGCCCCCTCCTCGGGGTCTGCGCAGGGTTGGCAAACACCTCCCCGAGGGACCCCACGCACGGAGAAGGTGGTGGCGGGCCCAGAAGCGTCCCGCGCCCCCCTGTGCTTTCCCAACCACCCCCCGGTCCTGGTGGGAGCCCGGCTCCCTGGCAGCGAGCGTGCCCGCCGGCGCGGGGATCTACATGACAAACGATGATGAGGCAGCACGTGAAATCGTGGAAAATGAGCTCTGATTTGTCATGTCTGTGTTTTCTTTGTCTGCTAAAAGCCATGGCCGCGTTAATCACCGTGTTATTACGGCTGGAGCGTGTTGCTCGCTGCGTTACAGGGAGCGCTTTCAGGCACGGGGTACGGTATAAGCCCCTGCCCATTAATAATTGCCAATTAAAGCTTCTAGGCTTACAGGTGTGAGCAAGACAGAGACAAGGTAGCATCTATTTGTCTGCTGAGAAAGAGGGTTGAAGGGCCGTGTTTGTCTGTGGCTCGGGTTTGAAATGGATCTAGTGGCTTTTTGGCTGGGATCCCAGGGGAGTCTGAATTTTGCTGCCGTTTACCGCTAAATTTGGAGCGAGTTCATCCCTCAGCCGTGAGAAGCCAGAGCGGCGTTTTCGATGAGGACGTTCCCTTGTCTCCCTTTTTCCCCCTCTCTCAGCTCTTGACGGGCTGTCGCTGGATAAGATTCGGGCTGGTTTTGCCCTGGAATGGAGCAAGTCCCTCAGACCGGCCCGAGAGACGGTTGCAGAGCGAGACGCTAATTTCTTTTTTCCCCCGCTCCTTTTCTGAACGTGTGCCGGTATGAGAAACACCGTCCATCAGCTTATCCTGAGCGTACGTTAAGCTGTTACCCTGCTGCACGCTTAGGACGAGGAGTCGAGATAGGGTTAATCTTTAGATTAGTTTGCTATTTTATGCAGTGGCCGGGGGAACAATGTAATTATTGATGCGTGAAACCTCTTGTTGAAATACTCACCTGCAGCATTCTCCCAGTCCTTACGGCAGCACGAGAGCCGGCCAGAAGCCGGTGACTGTCTGGCTTTTCAGCGATACTCAGGTCGCCAGTGGGAGGCTCAGAAAGGTGTATTTTAGGGGAGGTGAAACACGTTTGCCAATGGAATTCGGGTTCCCGTAGCAGCTCTTGTCGAGGACGTTTGGCACAAGGCGGTCAGCTTCCTTCTAAGAGAGGCAGAGAGCGGCTGTGGGGGAGTGCTCCCCATCTCTTCGATGGTTCCTGGGGTGCTGCTGGAGGAGCCGTGGCCGGAGGTGCGCTGGGCGGCCACGGTTCCCATTGCAGAAACACGCTGCGCTTCCAGACACCGTCCGACCTCCTCCGACGAGCAGCAGCGGTGTCTGCAGGCTCAGCTTCCCCAGCGCTGAAGTTGCACCTGCAGAACCGGGGTGGGATTTGCTGAAGCGTGGCCGTGCCCGCGGCCCGCGGCCCCTGTTTGTAGCTGTGCCGCTGCGGGCGTGTGTGAGTAGCTCTAGCTGGAGGTCGCAGCTGATGAGCGGCTTTCCCCCCACACGCTCAGAGCGGAGCCCGCGCCCGCTCCTCACCCAAAACCAGGCTGGGTCCCAACCCTTCTGGTTACCTCCTTTGCCTGTGAAGCTCGCTCTGAAATAGCAGCAGATCTGCACGCGACCAAACTGCCCTTCGGAATTAACCTAGCCTGCCTCTTCCTTCCTCCCGAATATGTAGGTCCCCCGAGCATCCGGGCGATGAAGAACATAACAGCAGTAGCGGGTAGGGACACTTTCATCAACTGCAGGGTGATCGGGTACCCGTATTACTCCATCAAGTGGTACAAGGACTCTCTGCTGCTGCCCGATAACCACCGCCAAGTGGTCTTTGAAAACGGGACTCTTAAGCTGATGGACGTCCAGAAAGGCATGGACGAAGGAGAGTATCTGTGCAGCGTGCTGATCCAGCCCCAGCTCTCCATCAGCCAGAGCGTCCACGTCACGGTGAAAGGTAAGCGGGTGGAGAGGCTTTCCCTGGAGCAGACGGAGAGGCCGTCCAGGTCGCGTTGGGGACGTCTCTGCTGCGGGACGGAGGCAGAGCAGCGTCGCGCAGGGGACTCCGCGGCCAGGCAGTGGCCGTGCTCCGCGAACGCCGCGCCGACGGGAGCTCAGCTCCCACCACGGCGGCCCTCGGGAACTGGCTCGGCTCCTGCCGGAGCGGCTACCTGGTCCTGCCTGCGCGCCTGCAGCTGCCCTGAGCCACACCGTATCCATTTCCCGTTACAAGCGACGGAGCAAGGATTTGCAGTGTAAACATAACGTATTAAAACATCTAACCTTTGCTCGGATCGCCTTCACCGATGTTTTTCTGTGTGTGTTAGCTTTTAAAAAAATAATACTCTCGGTCTTCCGAGCGCACAGAACATCTTAAAAGCTTCTCCAGGCCATCAATTATTCAGCCCCGTTGAGGGAGCTATCAGTCCTAATGAATTGAGCTGGATGCGGTCCCTCCCAGTGACCCGCTGAGATTGTGCCGTGAGCGTGCAGCGCTCCCGTATCTCCCGTCCTCAGAGTTGTCGGGTCGTCTCTGCCCGTCGCCAGCTCGGTGTTTGCAGTAAATCATTTAGACAAACACAGCCGGGCTGGGGACGGAGCTGGCCAATTGTCTTTCTCTGTCTCGCCCAGCGGAGTATTTGTGGACTGGATTTTACTGTGGTCCCCCTCCCTCCCCTCCCATCCACCATTTTCTTATTAGGAATCAGGTTAGCGAGAGAGCGCATCAAGCTGATTATAGATGCTACCGCTTGATTAGCTAATGCTCTTCTCCAAGGCTTTGCAAAGGGAAAAGTAGGCTGCGGATAACCTGGCTAAGGGCGGTGCGGAGAGGGCTTCTCTCCCCTCGGGTCTGCGGTGCAGGGCACGGCCAGCCCTGCTTCCCTCACCTGCTACAAAATCCCCATCTACGTGGGAGCCCCAGGGCTTGAAAAGAGGCCGGAGTTGAGCAAAAGCTGGCCTTCTGCTGGGGGGAACGGGGCAGGCAGGGCTGGTGTGGAGAGAGCATCTACAGGGACGTGCGCGCCTGAAGTTAAATAACGGGATTCACTTTTTGGCAGTCGCTGGCAGGTGCCGTCGGAGGATGCAGGATGCTGAAGTTCAGCCCAGGATCCATATGTTCTGGGAAGCAACTGCTAGCAAACCCTTCCGAACCTGAATTTACTGCCTCGATTAGCGGCCGGTGACAGGCCGAGGAAGGCGAGCGGGTGGAAGGGTGGTGCGGGCCGGCGGCACGCCGCTCTGCTGCGGCCAGGACGTCTTCGTTCCACCTGCAGCGCGGCTGCCGGAGATTTACACCCGGCCCCGCTTGCTGGATTCCTCGTTTGCTCTGGCTATCGGATAAAAGGCCTGTGGAAAAGAACCGCAAAGGCCCTAGAAGACAGTCAGAGCTAGCTCCGCGGAGCAGAGTGAATAAATATAACTGCGTAGAGCGAGGAGCGCGGGATGGCGTGGAGCACCGTAAAGCTTTTATTGCCGCAAGTGCCTGGTGACCACGTTAAGTGCCACAAGTGAGTTATGCGGGTCTTTCCGAGCACGCGGTAGTAAAAGCTTTAACAGCTCCGCTCCGGCGCCGCTCCCCCGGGGAGCGGGGATGTGCGGGCAGCCCCCAGCCCTGCTCGCGAGGCATCGCCCCCAGCCGCGCTCCCCGCCTTGCGTTGAGGGAAACTTCCGCCCGGGTTTAGCTGCTGCCGCTTACCCTGGGGACCCCAGGTCCCCCAAGTCCCAGCTTCAAACCTCCCTGCTCCTGAGGGCTTCTGCGGCCGCCCGGGGAGGCTGCTGGGGCCTCTTCTCTGCGCTTCCCCGGCGGTGCCGTCCGAGCACCCGGCCTCCTCCGAGGTGCCCTGACAGCTCGTTATTCCCGCAGACGTCTTTGAACGTTTTCGGTGATCATGTGTGGGTTTGGTGCTGCCCCGGGGCTCTCGCACAGCTCTGGGTGACTGCGGTGATTCGGGGAGCGCGGTGCTGACACCGGCTACGCCTGCTCTGCAGCCTGCAGCACCTGGGCACCGTCGGGGCGATGCTTCACCCCGCGGGAAGGCAGAGGCTGTTCGCTGGGGCTCCCCTCCGGACCTGAGCAGCTGGGCCGGGCTCTGCAGCGGGCACCGTGGGCAGGGAGACCCTCACACGGTGCCCTGGGTTGTGGCCGTGCGGCCGGTTCCTGCTGCAGCTGCGCGAGAGAGCCTGGAAGCCCTGGGGAAAGTAGAATTGCAGCGGGAAACAAACTGGGAAGGAGAGGCGAGCTGCAAGCTCCGGTTGCGGGGAGCTCGAGCAGGGAGAGCTCTTCTGCCGAGGGAGCCTGTCCTTTTCCTGGCGGCTCGGAAGCGGCCGGTGGGGCGTGTTTGGAGAGGCGCGGATCCACAAGCCCATCCCCGCTCTGCAATAGACTGCAGTGCATTCCCAATTAATTATTCATTAATTATGGAAAACAGGCAGCGCTGGCTCCGTGGCTCCGGCAGCTCGAGCCACGTTGCTGTAGCCGGCGAAGGGGCAGGCCAGCCTTGCCCGCACCCGTCCCCGTCTGCCTGCCCCTGACGGCCCGCAGCCCGGGGGGGGCGGCTCGCAGCCCCCCGCTTGCCCGCTGCTCCGCAGAGCTGCCAGGCCGGGGCCAGGCAGAGGGGCAGAGAGAGACCTTTGCGATGCGCCGGGCTGGGCGCGGGGTGGAGATGGGAGCCCGGGGATGTGCGTGGTGGTGCGGGGAGCCACTCCTGCGCCTGTACGAGAGGGCAGCTTATTTCTGCCGAGGGGACAATTGGCAGCCTGCTAATTTAATTATGGAGACTGCAGAAAGAGGATCTCATCTACCAGGTGCTGAGCCTTGTTAAGCTAATTGTCTCCCTCTCTCTGCTTTCTTCCCCCTCCCACATTGCCAGAGATGCTGCGGTTGCCTAATTAAGTTATCAGAAAGATAATGGCTGGTTCTGAATCCAGTGCCTTTAAGAAAAGCATCCATCTAATAATTGCTTTTCTGCAAGCAGATAAATGCTGAGGCGGAATTTCGGCTGGCACGTGGGGGGGGGGGCCGGACGGGGCTCGCCCCAGAG